TTTCCTTCAAAAGAGACATAATTAATTTGCAAAATTTTATATACTAAATAGTTTAGAAACCTATTCTTAGCTACAGGCCTTCTTTTATATAATTAAAAAAAAAAGCAAGGTCCACAAACTTGTTTTTCTTTGACCAGAGGTCCCATCCCGATGCATCAATATACTTCTTTAATTTTCTTGAGGCTCTTGTAATAAAAAAAGAGAAAGTGTGAAGGACTTTTGGATATTGAAAAGCAAAAAAAATATTTGTTTCTTTAATTTTGAAGAAAAATTATTATAAAAAAAAAGTTTTTTTTTATTATTGAAAACAAAACATTTTTAAATATTAATATTCTTATATATTTATATAATTTTTGAATATTATTTTAAAATTTTTTAAAATTTTTTAGAAATATTTAAAACTTGAGATTTATTTAGATTTTTATTAAATTTGGTTTTGAATTTACTAATTAATATATGTATATATACAGTGTGAGTTATAAATTTTTGGAATTGGTTTTTTTAATATAATTTTTTTAATAACATTTAATATATTTAAAACAAAAATTAAAAAATAATTAATAATTTTTAATTATTTTATTTACTGTATTATAAAAAAATAATAAAAATTATACAAATATTTAAAATTATATGAATTATTTATTGTATTATTTATTGTTATATAATATTGAAATGCATTTTAATGATATTAAAACATATTTTTATAATAATATATAATCTTTGCAAATCTTTATAAACTTTTGTAATACAATACTTTACAAACCTTTAATAACCTTTAAAGACTTTTGAAAAAATGGAGATTTCAAAATTTATATATATAAACTCCACTTCAGAGATCTTTAATGAAAACAGAGATCTCTGCTAATTTAATTTATTGATATTAATTTATTTATATATTGAAATAATTGAAATAATTGATTATTGTTATTTTTTTATAAATGATAGAAAAATTAAAAAATTTAATTTGCCATTTTCTTTTAATTAGAATTTAATAATAATATTTTAATCTATTTAAATTATATATATATATATATTTCTATTCTTTATATTTTTAAATAAAATTTTTATAAATGGGTTTTTTGTTTCAGCTTGTACAATTAAATACATTACAATTAAAAATTAAAATTACAGTAATTAATAAATAATATTAATTTCTATTATAATATTTGATATAATAATGATTAACTTATATTAAATAAATATTTTGCATCTAATATTTGTTTGTAACTTTAAAATTCAAATAATCTTTTTTTATTTTATAATAGCTTTAAATTTATAATTTATGGATTACTTAGTGAGATAAAGATACGTAAATGCAGTATAAATTTTGGATATAAAAAATAAGGATAATGTTGTTTATAAATTATTTTTATTTGTTTGTTATCACGTAATGGTATATTCGTTTTTTTTTTTTAACAAAAAAAAAACTTCTTGATATATTAATTACGATTATGTAATAGCCAACTTCAAAAAAAAAGAAGAATTACGATTATGTAATGAAAATGTAAAAAGATAATCAGAATCGTCGTTAACCGGTCATATGCTATCACAGATTGTACTCGGCCCGGTAATTATGAATTAAAAGGAAAAAATGAATAATTCGTGTAACATATTAATTAAGTTAATTCTTGTTGTCTTTCTTCTCAACATTTCAAAATGCCGCGGGGTCTTGTAAATCTTCCATTATTTGCGAAATTATCAGAATGCGTTTGTCGAGTTCTTGGTACAAATCCTAGCGCGTTCACTTTACAAGGTTAATTTTGAAAATATCATTCATCTACAACGCTCTCGGCTTTTACTAATCCACCCTAAATTTACAGGAACAAACACTTATTTAATTGGCACAGGCTCGCAAAAAATCCTTCTCGACACCGGAGAAGGTAAACCGGAGTACATTCGCCTATTAGCCGAATCCTTAAAAACACTCGGTGACAACGTTCACATCACCGACATCCTTATTTCACACTGGCATCTAGACCATGTTGGGGGTGTAGACGATATTCTCGAATACTATGCTCAAAACAATTTAACCCTCCCAAGGGTTCACAAAAGACTTGAAGCTAGACATGATAACCCTCATCATCAGACTATTTTCAATCAGATCGAAGATAACCAAATATTCCGCACAGAAGGCGCAACAATTCAAGCCATTTACACGCCAGGGCATTGCGAAGATCATCTTGCTTTCTATCTGAAGGAAGAAAATGCATTGTTCACGGGTGATTCGCTGTTAGGTCAAGGTACAACAGTATTTGAAAATCTAGGAAAGTACATTGATTCTTTAAAGAGAATGCAAAGATTACTTCCAGGTAGGTTGTATCCTGGTCACGGCCCTGTGGTTGAGGATGGAAAAGCAAAGATAAGAGAGTACCTTGATCATAGAATGGCGCGTCATAATGAGATTTTGG